TGATGGGGTGATACTGTGATATGTGCTGTCTCCATATGTGCAGTTTGAGAGTGTTGGACACAATTGTTTCAGCATTTCTGACATTTGAACAACAGCAGCAACAAAGCTCCTATGCCTACTTGGAACTCAGATAGTCCACTGATGCTCAGCTGTCTATACCTGAATAGTTCCTGAATACATTGGAACTTTGGGACGCGGGTGGCTCTGTGGTTTAACTTGCCGATCAGAAGGGTGAGCTCCTGTTGCTCGGTCCCTGCTCCTGCCAACCTAGCAGTTCGAAAGAACGTCAAAGTGCAAGTAGATAAATAGGTACCGCTCTGGCGGGAAGGTAAACGGCGTTTCCATGCGCTGCTCTGGTTCGCCAGAAGTGGCTTCGTCATGCTGGCCACATGACCCGGAAGCTGTACGCTGGCTCCCTTGGCCAATAAAGCGAGATGAGCGCCGCAACCCCAGAGTCAGTCACGACTGGACCTCATGGCCAGGGGTCCCTTTACCTTTACCTTTACCTTTACACTAGAACTTTACCAAACTTCTGAAAACATGCTTTCCCCCTGACCTCTCAACTAGCTCTCTTTTTGCTATAAATGAGTTTTCTGCTTCTAATAAAACATTGCTCTGAAAAGGTCAGTTAAAAGAAAGGCCATATCCAAAATATACTGAGGCTGCAATCATTTTGTGTGGGAAGAAGTAACTGCCACAAAACTCAGTGTGACTTTCTTTTGAGCAGGCATATATGGGGTTGTGCTGTCAGTCACTCAGTTAATACTACCTTGAGGGTGACCCGGTTCATTTTTTCTACATGGTGATTATTTTTATGTTGAAAGTATATGTTAATTAATGTAGCATGGCGCAAGAGCTTTTTCTACTCCCCAATCCTTGTCTACATGATCTAGGGGAAATAGTTGCTCACCGACACTTAGATGGAAGCATGTCATCTAGGCAGTCAATGTGATTGGCACTTTTACACATTAGCAATGTTGCTATGTAGAAGCCTGGTTACAGAAGAGTGAAGGGTTTGTTTGTTTTTTGCACATGTAAATTTGTAATTTAGACCTGTGTTACTGTAGAAGTTGTGGGTGGGTGTGGGTGTGCCTGTCTGTCTTAATTTTTCTAAACTAAAATGGCAAAAAACCCAGAACAAAATGCTCCTTTAAACTACGGTACCAGTAATTCCATGCAATTTTATAATTTCAGAATAAGGAAGTAGAGAGTGGTGTAAGAATTGGAAACTGTTAATTCTAGTGGCAGTAGGGTTTTCCTTAATTTTTAACATCCCCTTAAAGTATCTCAAGCCTCACCTCTCATCTCAAGAAGACTATGGGCTTGCAAACAGCCCATTTATTTTCAAGGAACTTACTTCTTAACTAGAAGCAGTTTTAGTCTGATTCCTGCTGGCAAAGGTCTAACTTAAAGCACAATCTCATTGCTTTGACACACATACCTTTCTCTTAAGACAAGGAATTTTTCTTGGCACAGGTGCTTACTGTAAATACTAATCCACAAATAACCATGCAGACTGAGCCACATGTTTTCTCAGAAGTCCCACTGAGTTCAATGGACTTTGTTCTGAAGCAAAGGTTGTGAACAGGATTGCAGCCTGAGGTTCTGATCCTTCCATGCTATGGTTAGGTGGTACTGACCCCTGTGTGTGTATTGGGCTGGGTTTGTTTCTTTCTTTTTGGAAAAATATGGGGCTAAAACAGGAGCGATTGACCTTTCCACAAGAAACTGGCCCTTAGCTTACATATCATTTGGATCCATTGATTTCTCTTAAACACCATTTTATCCAGAAACATATTCATAAACTGCATTCATACAAGTATTTCGAGTCATGCACCCAGTTCCTACTGGGAAGAAAACAATGTTTTTCTGTTGGCCAGAAAGAAAAGAAATAAACGATTTATTAAATATACTTCTTTTTTTTTAAGGTCCCACCCTGTTTTGTAGTTCAGCTGGGAAGTTACTCCTCTTTAAGAACTGAAAATCGAACCGATCCTCTTTTCACTGATCAGGTGCGGATTGCGCAGTTTGGTCTAATGGAGTTTCTAAGGACTGTGGAGAGCTGCGACATAAGGACCAGTCAATTTCCTCGGAGTCCTTAAGGAAAGCCAAACTGAAATTGTACACTGTTTATATATCTCTACGCACACCTTATCATTATGGTTTCTAGGGCTCTGTGGCACCAGCCATGGGCTTTTTGTTATTGGAGGGGGTGGGCCTTTTGTTAGGGGAGGCAGGTCTTTTGTTGGGGGGGACCGAACCTCAGTTAACTATGTATTTTTATTGATTGGGGGGGGGGGGCAGCTGCTCCTCCCTCCCACCCCACTTAGCTACGCACATGGCCACCAGCGATCTCAGAAGGAACCCGGTCGACACGATTTCCTCAGAGAAAATGAGGTTAGGATCATACCCTTATTGGCGATTTCCATGTAAATAATCTCCGCATCCCGCCCGCCCCTCCCGGTTCCCGCAGCCCCCAATCCACTAAGATGCCTTTCTTTGTTATTTATAGTAGATAACAGACGCTGGAATCGTTCCTTGGTGGAATCCCCCCGCCAGCACACATGGGGAAATTGATCACAAGACAACTTGCATATTGACCAGTAAATACAACGTATTGGGTGGTGAGCCATTCCTGTGGTTATTATGGAGTCGAAATATTTTTTTTAGTCAGAAAGAAAAAGAAAACAGGAAGAGAAAAATGCAAAACAGAACCCCTCCCTTCCCATCTCCAGTACATATTTCGATGTACACACTGGGCAGAAATAGTTTCAAAATGAGAGTTGACTGCAGGACCCCCTCTAGGCAAGGCTATATCTCTTTTGCCTTTTGCGCAGGAGTTGATACTGGGTGGGTGGAGGGGCTTTCTAAACAGAAGACGAAAATAACAGCTAACTCTGTCATAGCATAGATATAATATATTTCACTCTCACCACATAAATACAAAACAGCCAAATACCCAAAACATTCAGAACAAGGGCTATTAGTAGCAGGGGGAGCTCATCTTCACCCGCGGATTCATTCATTATTTTCATCACTAGTTGCCTAGAAACTTCAGACGTAAATAATTTACAATAATATTAATAGGAGGGTTTTCCGTTTTGCCCCCGCGCGCGTTCTCTCCCGCTCTCTCCTTACTCTTTCTGTTCTAGAATTAATTCTATGCACTACATCAACCATTCCACTTCTTTTGCCCCCCCCTTTCCTTTTTTAAAATTTTTTGGTTAAAAAGTTTGGTGGCACATATTTTATACAGTCTGTAAACGCAACGTATCAAATGATTGTTTAAAAATTAAAAAAAAAAAAACCCAACTAGCTATGTAGTTTTGTTTTGTTTTTCCTGACAAATTTCAAGTCCTGGGATTTAATGTAAAATAATAATAATAATAATAATAATCCAGGAATACATACATTGTGTGAAGGATGGGGGGGGGGAGCAAATAACAGTAAAATAACGATTGTTACAGAATAGTTTTGGTTTCTTTCCAGAACAAAACAAAACCGGAGAAGACGCGTTGGTTGGAATTTAAAGGTAAGCATTTTGTAAGAAAATAAATTGGAAGGTGGTGAAAACTCGAGACTTCCAGTTTAGGTCCAGTTTATATGGGGAACAGGCAAATAATAACGTTGGTCTTAGACGCCTTCGCATCTAAGACTCTCTCTCTCTTTTACCTGCACTTCATAATCTTTTTTATTTTATTTTAGAGATTGGAGTTAGATTCTGGAGGAAAGGGTATTGTGAGGATTTTCACAAGATCGGTCCCCCCCTTAAAAAACACCCCCTCAGTTTTCTGTAGCCAATCATAGTTAATGCGTATATATTATAGTACAAACATTCGGGATTTAACCAAATCAAAGTGTTTTATATTATCCTGCCTCTGGGCTTCATGGCGAAATAAAGGCTAGGAGCCAGACACAATTGTTTGGAAGACCACAAGCCTTGGCAACGCATCCGCTTTGAAATCCACCAGATTGCACAGTTTTTGTGCTCTCTTAAATTCATCTGTCATAAACATCGCTGGAGTAATATTCCAAAAGCATGTCACTTCATCGCTGTGGTACCTGAAATAAGGGTAATTCCCCAACACAGACATGTACAATTTAAAATTAAAGTGCAATCCTTTACGCACTTACCGGGCGTCCCAGTGAAGAGGGACTTCTTAAGTAAGCATGCTTAGGATCGCATTGCGCACCTCAACCCCCTTGTTCCGGTGAGCTTAAATTTTCAATATTTTTTTTGTTTCGAATAGGGAACTGGAAGAGGCGGAGGAGGAATGCACCTTCAGGGCGATGCATGAGAGAGACCCCTGGACTTGTTTTCGTCTCGGACTCGCAAAAGAGAGACTCCTTTGAAATAAGAGGTGTGTTTGAAGAACCAACACAATGTGGAGCAGCCAAAAACATGGCCTCCCAGTTGGATGTATGAGCTTCTCTGCATGTGTAGGACACATGCACTTTTAAGCTCCTATCAAGCCTTCCGCCTTAAAAAAAAAAATCACCTCTTTTTCCTATACACTCCCTTTATAATGTAAAAAGTTGGTCCTTATCATAGGGGCAGCCAGACTGAAGTCAACAGTGTCTCCTTCCACTATTCGCCCCTCTCTGCCATAGTCCCCCCCCTAACTCCCCAACCCCATTTCTAACATTAACGTGGGCCACCAATAAGACAAATGTCTGGCTCGGGGAGGGTTCCTCGTTGCCGCCGATCGATTTGTTCCACCGATTGGAGGCCTCCAGTCAAATCTGTGAGGCCCTCCGGTTGGGAACTGATGGGCTGGCAAGGTAAAAGTCGGGGGTCCCCCAAGAGGCAAAGTTGTGCCTGGGATTGGTGGCTGGGGAAGACGGCAGAGAGAGGAAGAAGAGGAGAACGGTAGAAGAGTCTGTGGGGTGCGATGGGAAGAGGAAGGTGGGGAAGGGGCCCCTATGGTGTGGAGGGTCTTCCATAAATAACCGTCACAAATAGATACTATAAATATAAATACAGCGCGCGTCGCCGCACGTCAGTCCAGGGCCTTTTTCTCGACGCCTTCTTTATTGGCCGTCCTGGAGTAGGGCTCGAAGGCCGAAGAGCTCAGGTACCTAGCGGACAGTTCTTGCAAGTTCCCGGCCAGGGAGCCGGCCATCGCTAAAGGGTTGGAAAGCCGGCTGGCCACCGAGCCCAGCAGGGTGGGCACGGGCAGGCTGAAGAGGTTGTGGCCCCCGGGAGGGGACGGGTGCGCCGGACCGGCGGCGGCGCTGCTGCTGACGGCCGGCTGGTGCGGGGAGCCGCCCGCCGTCGCGGATCCCGAGCCGCCGGTGCCGCTGGCGAGGCTGGGCGCGCGCAAGGCTGAGCCCAAGGCGCTGGTGGCGCACGGCGGCAAGAGGCCCGGCAGGCCCGGAGGCGAGAGGAGCCGCCCTTGCTCCAGCAGCCGCAGCACGCTGCACGTCGCCGCCGTCTCCGACACCACGGATTTCAGCTCCGAGTCTTTGCCTTGGTCCTTCTTCTGCTTGGTGCGTCGGTTCTGGAACCAGACTTTGACCTGCAAAGAGAAGCAATTGGGGGTTGGGGCGAGGGAGGGAGAGAGACAAGGTCAGCGAGGGAAAACCACGGGCAACTTTAGGATCGGGATTGGGAAAGCTAACCCCACCCAAGACCACCATGGAAAAGCTCTCCAAGCTCCCTTCACCTCTTTCCCCATGTGACTGGGCCCTGAGCTCATCCTGTTTGCTTGGCACTTGGGCAAAAATGGGGGGGGGGGGGGAGAGATTTCCGGGGGGGGGCGCGCGTGTACGTGGGAGAAGAGCGCGCGCCTCTGTGTGTGTGAGCGCGCGCGCGCGCAAGATAGCGACCGTGTGTGGCCGTTTGAAACGTGATAAGAATCGCCAAGCAATCTTGGGCACTTAAAAGTGTTGCTGAAGTGGCGGAGAATTGCTGAAATAACAAAGAACTCTCGAGCACCTTAAAAGACTAACACATTTATTATTGTGGAGTCGCCTTTCCATAAGGCGAGAGCGCCTACCATTTCATCAGGTGCGGGAAGTGGACAGGAAAGGCATTGGAAACTTACACACAGAAGGATGCGGGGTGGGCGTGGGGCGGAATGAGAAGGAATCGCTTTGACAACGCGAGGTGGTTGTGTGTGTGTGTGTTTAAAGAATTAAGTAGAAACAGGCCCCGGTAGCGAAACTTCCATGGAGAAGAAAGAGCACCTGGTTGTCAATTCCAGAGCCGGGAATCCACCAGGATCTTTTCCAGGAAGAAAGCTTTGCTTAGAGAAGAAGAAAATCCCCAGTGAGTGATACTTCAGTAATGCCTCAGATCCTACACTCTTGAAACTCTGTAGTACAGATTTAAAGGTTTTATCCTTTTTAAGCCTCCCTCTTAGGCCGTGAACACAAGATTTGTACGGGACGTCATCCGAATTTGCAACTTCCCTTCCACTTTCTTTATCTCTGGGAGCATGAGGTTTTCCTAGCGCCTGTGGAAGCGCATGCAGGCTGTATGTATGGATAGACAGACGTACATAGTTTGCGTTGGATTTTCCCGTCAACATCTTTTGCGTGCCGGAGGGAGCTGGGAGAGTGTTCTGGGCAAGCGACTGCCAGCTCTATTCCCCATTTTTCGCCCCCAGCCTTATAAAGAGACACCTTCAATCTCTTCCCCGCCCGCCCCCGCCCCCCCCAACGACTTTAGGTCTGCTTTCCACCATTTCAAATATTATTTCACTCAAATTAATATCACATGCCACGCTCTAGCCTCGGAGGTTGTTTCGTTTGTCATACCAACATGGCCAAATCTGACAGCCAAAGAAATGCTAATTAGCTTGTCAGAAGGATTCATTACAGTTGTAGGATCTTTTCACGAATTAAGAAACCACTCCCTACGACACTTTGTTTTTTTGGGGGTTTCTTTGGCACTGATTCTTTCTTTCTTTCTTTCTTTCTTTCTTTCTTTCTTTCTTTCTTTCTCCCTCTCCTCCTTTCTTCCCTCCCTCCATAATACTTGTATCAGACGCTTCATTTAGGAAGAATAAAATCACACCTCCCTTTCTCCACATTTTCGCACTTTCTCCTCTTTCTTCCTGCCCCGGGATCCATAAAGGGACCTGCACATCTTCCATCACATCTTTTGCACTAGCTAATCAAGTAGCAACAAGACTTAAGCGCATTTTCAAGGTGGACGCAGAAATAAGCATGGCCCGGACACCCCTTTTTCCGGCTTGGAATGGTTTTTGAGGCGCTGGGAAATCTGAAGGTTCCCCCGCAAGCATTTCCCTATAAGCATATAATTATTCCCTTCCCCCCCCACCCCCCGGCCTCATCCTATTCTCTTTTCCTCGGGCTCTTCTTTTATTCAGTAAGTCTTCCATACAGTATTTCCTTCCTGTGCAGAAACGCCTTCTCGCCTCCTGCGCTATACACAGGGACTCTCTATACAACCCCAAGGCGAATGGGACCCGCCCTTAAAACTCCCCCACTTATACCCATTTTGTAGCAAGTGGTTCTAAGGCTGAAGGAAAGGGAGGGGGGATTTGGGTTTAAAAGTTGTAACAGGCTCGTTGAAGCGGACCTCATGCATGTCAGATTCATAGTGTACGTTAATTAATTAATTTGAAAAAAGCAATGTTTGACGTGAAATTTTTTTAAAAATACTCTTTTCAAATCTCCAGCTCTGCCTCCCACCATTTTGTTTGTTTTTTGTTTTGTTTTATAAATTACAACAAATGCTTCTGTTAGTCAGTTTCCTTCACTGCCGGATTGCAGGAGTCTGGTGAAAGCTCATTTCAAACTAAACCGACCCACAACCAGATCTTTATGCACATATGCCGTTGAACTTCTTCTGGGTAGGATTGCGCTCTGCAATCTTTCCCGTGCTTGCCTGAGAACAAGCCCCGTGGAAACCGAATGGAACTTTACTTCCAAGTAAACATGCGCGAGAGGATGGCGCTGCAGAAGCCCACGTGGAAGCGACTTGCGACCAAATGCAGCCTGCCCAAATAAATAAATGAATGAACCCCGCCATAATAGAAGAACATGGTGGAAAGGGCAGGGGAGTAAGTGCAGCGAAGAAGCATTGCAGTGGTGTCTCCTACAAAAGGGCCTGCGTGGCCTGCGCACTTTTTGCAAGAGAATCGTCCTGCGGAGCCTCCGGTCTGAATCTACTGGGAAGTAAATGGTCACTGAGAGGCTTAACTCCGCATAAAGGTACCTTCAGGCAGATTTTATTTTAGCAACGCACACACTCAAATCCAGGGACCATCGGTGGCACTTGGGTTGCAACCCTGCGCCCTCCTTCAGCGTTAACGCATTTCCTTGGGAGCAAGTCTCATCGAAGTCAGTGTGGGACTTACTTCCAAGTAAACAGGCGCAGGTTCAGTCACCGCGACCTCTCCCGAGAGAAAGCTCTTTGGAACAACAAAGGCGGTGGCCTGCTGAAAACTCCGCTTGTATCTTTTCCCGCGATTCTCGCAAAAGAAACAAGATTGGATCCTGACCGTGGTTGAATCAATGGAGCTCTATTGCTCATATCACTACTGACCACTGACATTAAATGTGGTCAGATTAAAACAACCCCTTCCCTCTCCCTTCTCTGGTTGGAAAGACTTTTCCTTCCAATTCTAAGGCACCCAAAAGAATAAGTCCCAATGAACACAGCGGGACTTACTCCAGAGTAAACATGCACAATTGCTGTGCTGTCAAAGCAGTCCTGAAGGATAAAGGTAGCTCCTTAAACGCTGTACCTTCTCCTATCTATTTTGCATCCCTTTTCTGTTTTGGAAAAGTTACTTTTGTGACTTATTCCGATCCTATTCCCGCTTTTTTTGTACTTTTGCCACTCCACACACTTTTCGCCTGTTCTTCAGAACCCGAACTTTACACCACGGGAGGCTGAAATCAATTCCCATTTTCCGACCCACTGCAAATGAGTTCAGGGCAACCGGTGTGCAGGTAACTGGACGTCAGCACCTAGGAGTGCAGCTACGTCTAGAAATTTTGAGAAGTATTTCTTTAACAACACGCGCACAGCAACCTTTAACTCACTTGCAGGGGCCTGCCAACGATTTACAGCACACGCCATGTTCACTCGGAAACAACTCCCATAAATCACCCTTCATTCCACGCAACTCTCTTATTTTTGCGTATCTGTCTTTCCGTCTAAGCATTTAGGCTTGCTTAGAATTGCAGCGTCCACACCCTCCAGGCAGCTCAGGCCTCGACCAAACTGTGAAATGCCTCCGACCTTGAATCTACCTACCCCCTTTTTTTAAACGTGATGATAGACGTATGTTTGTGGGTGCGAGAGCGGAAAGCGAGGGGTCTCAACTGTGCTGGCCCCGCATGGTACCAAATTATGATTCAGGAACCTAGCAGGGAAGTGAAAGTGTCCGGAAAAGTCATTTGGAGTCCGGATCTGGGAAGCTCTGGGAAAGGCGTCTACCTGCCTGAACTAGGGCTGGTTCTATTGATTGGTCACAGCCATGCAGGGAGCCACCCCAGCGCTAGGGTTTATTATGTTGTAGCAAGTCAGTAGACTCCCCCCTGCAGCTTCATAACCTGGGGTGGGGGGGTGGGGGGATCGATCCTGGCTCCCTCCCGTTCCAGCGCAACGGCGTTGGAGTCACTGCGTCACCTACCTCTGAGCGCAACACACCCGGGATGTTTGGGACGCGGCGGGGGGAGGGGAGGTGCCGCTCTCTCCATTGGTTTCTCTGGCCCATTTTGTACCTGAGTTTCTGAGAGGTTGAGCTGCCTGGCCAGCTCGGTCCTTTCCCGTCCAACCACGTATTGGCACCTCTGGAACTCCATCTCCAGCCGGTAAAGTTGCTCCGCCGTGAAAGACGTACGGGTCCTTTTGGGTCGGTCCAGATCAAGCCCCTTCGGGAGGATAATCTCTCTTATTGAACCTTTGGCATCTGGCAAAGAGAGACAGAGGCACGTTTAGACCCAGGAGGAGGAAGAGGAGGAGGAGGAGAACAAGAACCCATTTTCAGGACCTGCACCGAAAGGCAAATGCATATCGACAGAGCGAAGCCTCATCTGCTGGTTTAGCCGAGGCGACTCTCCTTTCAAACCAGAGATGGGGGAACCTGTGGCCCGCCAGATATTGCACGACTACAACCCCCATCGCCCCTGACCATTGGCCTGGACTGGCGGGGGGCCGATGGGAGGTGAAAATCCAAGCACACCTGGGAGGCCACAGGCTCCACAACCCTGATTTCTATCCGGAGGCCCTTAAAATAGCAGCGCGTCGCCTGTAAATAAATACCAACTTTCATCACAAGACAGGGAACTGGGATAGAAAGATACAACAACGACGACGACGACGACGACGACAACAACATAGGCTGGTTTAGTGTAAGAACCAGCTTCGTCCAATCAGCAGAGGCCTAACAACAGCAACTCCTTCTTAGCATTTTTTGTCTTTGCAATGATATGATCATATTTGCGTGGCCTGGCTTTTTAACCACAAGGCGAGGACACAGGTTAACCATATAAGGCCGCCTTGAAGGCCGGCTTCCGGCTCCCCCTTCCTGTTTGGAAACTGGCAGGCTTCCCCCCCCCCCCGCCTCTCTGAAGGACCCAAGAACTCTTTTTCCATGTAAAAAGCCTGGTCCCGTTTTCCCTGCCCGCTAAAGCTCTCCACATCTTATGAGCACCTCCTCAATTCCAATTGCCTTCCCGCTCATCCAGCCTTGCTTTCCCACAATTTTACCTTCCCATCTTTAGTCTCGAAGCCTAAGGAACTCCAGTTTTGTTTTGTTTTAAAGTGATCGCTTTCCAGGGGGTCCACCGATCGCGCCAGGATTAATTATTGTTTACCGGGCCCTTTGTTCTAGGAGAAGTTTCTCTTTACGTTTATCACACGCAAACAAACTTTGGGAATTTAAATCAGACACTTAAAAAGAATGTTGTGAAATTATTGCATTGGCGGACTTAGAGGGAGGGAAGGAGAATACTCCACAAAGGAATAAAATAACAAACAACAACCAACCAACCCCCAAACAGTAGGGTTAAGGGGAAGGTTTAAACATTGAATCAAAGGAAGGAGTTTATATGGGTTTGCTTGTTTTTTAGTTAATGCAAACTCTGTGAAAATGATCACAGTTGGAAAGGAAACTTTACACCGTTTTTGGTTTTTTGGTTTTTTTAAAAAGACCCTCCAAAATACTCGACCCAGCCTTCGGAACGGATCCAACCTAAATAAACACCGCTTTCCGGTGTGGCTACGTATAGCGGGCTCCAAAGCAAAATCTCCCAGTCCCTCGCCAAAATTTAACAAGCATAAGGCTTGCAAAAACCGAAGCACCCTTGCTTGGTACGAAGCTTTACCACCCGTCTACCTTTCAGCCCCTGTCGGAACAAGGGCGCTTCCTCCGCCCCGCTTTTTCCTTTTTTGACACGTCAAACTAGCAGCCTTCCCCAAAGGTAGCGGGCAGCGCAATCCTATACTTCTGAGTATAGATGCAAGTCCCATTAGGTCGGGTAGAGCTTACTCCCAGGTATCTATCTATCTGTCTGTCTGTTCAGCATTGCAACGCAAAAATAAACTAAGAAAGAAATGCCTGCAGGGTAGAAGCCAGGGCAGAGAAGCAGCAGCCAAACAATTAAGCGAAGCGACCGCGAGAAGTACGTGGGGAGGAAAGACACGGAACCCCCTCCCAGCTGAGCTGCAAGGCTTGGGATGCTGAGCTATGGCAAAATAGGAAGTCTCCCAGATCCCCGCAAAACTGGATGCCCCCAAATGCCCCTGGAATTGTGGAGAAAGAAATAGCTCTACAGAATAAATAGATAAAAAGGAAACATTGCAAAATCTTGGCTTGAAACAAAAACAAAACAAAAGCAAGAATCCGCTAGCAGGGATTTTCCAGTCGCAGACACAACATAAAAAGGGAAAAAAAATAAAATACAAGCAAATTCCCCCCTACCTCGGACTAGTATTCTTCTGCAATAATCCGGGTCAGCGGAACTCGATTTGTTTTTGCTGCAGTCTTCCGAGCCGCCAGAAGACGAGAAAGTCCCTTGTGGATCCTTCAAAAAAGAAGTCGAAATATTTCCTTCGCATCCTTTGCTTTCCTTGCCCTCTTTATTGTGCCCGTTCTTGGAGACCCGGTTGGCTTCGATCTCAGAATTGCATCTAACGTCCATTTTGTCTTGTTTCCCAAACATGTAGTGCAATATGGTTTTTTAAAAAGTAAAAAAAAAAAAAAGAGGAGGGAGGGAGGGAGGGTAGGTTGGAAGGGGGGGGGGGTCGGAAGCAAGGGAAGAAAAGTCTGCGTTGGGTATTGCACGGTTCGTGGTCAGACCGGCGAGTAAACAGCCAAGTCTCTCGAAGGCGAGAGGTCGGTTCTTCTGATCGAGAGGCAGGCAATCAGCAGCTTCCTCCGTCCCAGCGTCCTAGTGCGAGTGTCCAGCTTCCCTGCGCCCCAATGATCAGGTACTCAACAGTGCAACTCTAAAATGATTTAATGCCTCCCTTATTACAGAGAAGGGGATGTGGTTGTTAGACACCCAGAGGGACGCGCACTCGCTGTTTCAATTGATTACGGGTAATTTTGCAGCCTCCACATTTAGGTTACCTCATGAATACACTAAATTGTTTGGATAATATATCACATCGTAATGGGTGGTTTGTATGCTTGTCCCCAATCAAGTCGAGTTTAGCCAGTGAATAAACTGAAATGATTGGCCTTGCTTTCAGGAAACACACAATCAAACGACTGAGACTTTCCAGAAGAAGAGGGGGGAGAGGAGAGGGGAGGGGGAAAAAAAAAAACTTTTGACAAGATTCAGCCTGAATTGTTAGGAGCCATTAGCGGCCATTATTAACTTTCTTCAGTTTGCCTTTGACCCTTCCAGATTACAGAGTGGTTTTATCCGAGGAGGCACGCCTAATACGTCTGAATTAAACGGCCAAGGAAACAAATATAGATGCGGAGTCCCTGGAAGCTGTGGGAAAGGAGTCTCGGGTCCTCAACAAACAGCCACCGCCAAGTCACCCCACTAAAGGAACACCACTAACAACTAAAAAGTAGCCATTTTCCTTGGTGGGGGATTATAGTGATCCAAGAAAGCAGATGTGCCTTGGTGCCCCTTCAGCCCCCACCCCCACCCCCACCCATCGCCAGCCAAATAGCAGAAATCCTACTTAACACTTATCTCCACAGCCAGCCATCTTAAAACTCCTACCTCTCCTTAATTCAGAGACTTGGCTTGGGTCCACTCCCTCCCTTCCTCCCTTCTAATTCTCTGCACCTTCACAGTGAACAACATTTGCAGAGCATACTCCTAGACTGGTGTGTGTGTGTGTTCAAAAAGCCTCCTTTGTATTTAGAGAGATCCAGGAAAGAGAGGGAGAGAGGGAGAAAGAAAGAGAGCACACACACACACACACACACACAGAGAGAGAGAGAGAGAGAGCGAGCGAGCAAGGGAGATCTCAACTGCGTGATCTACTAAAGGGAGGGGAGAAGTCCCCCTCCCAGCTATTTCATTGTCTCTGCTACAATATCTTTGAGAACCGCAACAGCCAGTAATCCAATAAGACCATTGATTAGGCTACAATGATTCAATTCAAGCGCATGGCTTTGTGCAGAGAGCATGCTTCAGCCTTTCTTGTCACCTTGCAGGGCAGAAGCCCTCTTCATGCTGCTCTCCTTATTCATGCCTTTATGGGAAATGTAGAGCGAAAGGAGTGAAAGATGGCAATTATCTAATTGGACTATTAACAAACAATCCTCTGAGTGTGGCTGTCTGGCATTGGTTCTTGGGCGGGGTGAAAGGCCACATGTTGCACTGGCCCCATTCACAAAAGAGTTCCAGGGGCCAGGCTAGAGAAAGAAAGCGAGGGAACTTTTCACACAAATCCAGGCATTTTAGTTAGACATCCTTCCCCACCCTCTTAGGCTCCTTGCTTGTGTCTTCTAAGGGGGGACTGGAGAAGGAAGGCTTTTAACTTTCTCTAGCTAAAAATGACACTACAACAGCAAAACAAGAAATAGTACAGAGGGGGCAGCAGTACTTGGGGGGGGGGGAGGAGGAGAGGGGAGAACCCAGCTACACCCAAGTTGTATATTTGAGCTTTGCAGGTCAAAGCAGGAAACATATGGACATACTCTTGAAGGAAAATGAACCTGAAAAAAAGGAAAACAAGGCATAGATCCTCTCAGCTGGGCTTTTTGTGTGCCAGGTTGGAGCAGCAAAAGCAAAGAACATAAGAACATAATAAGAGACCTGCTGGATCAGGTCAGTGGTCCAGTTAGTCCAGCATCCTGTCTCATAGTGGCCAGCCGGATACCCATGGGAAACCCAAAAACAAAACCCAGGCACATCAGCAATCTCCACTCCTGCGGTTTGCAGCAACTGGAAGCACACTGCCTCGACCATGATGGCAGAGTATAGCCATTGTTGCTAGTAGCCATTGATATATTCCATTAATTTCTCTAATCCTTGTAGAAGGAAGGACCAAAACTCAGTGGTGGAGCATCTGCGCTGCATGAGGAAGGTCCCAGGTTCAGTCCCTGATTGGATATCCAGGCAGGGCTGAGAGAAACCCTGGCTGGGACCTTGGAGAGTTGTAGTCAGTCAGTCAAGAGCTAGTTGGACCAATCGCCTGACTCCGGATGAGACAGCTCCCTGGGAAAATCTGAAACCAGCGTGATCAAGCTTTCCAAAAAGACTGGAGTAAATTTATACTGTAAACAATTAACAACACTAGCAGGGTTGATATAAAAAGACTTGTAATGTTAATGATTAATACCTTTTTATACTTATTTAAAATTTGTGATAATTGGAATAAGCGAAATTTAAATTGGAAGAGGTACAAATCCTATGACATGGAAATGAATTACGAAAACCATGAGGCGGGCGGGAAGTCAATTAGCTCATATGAACTAAAAGTTAAGATAACAAATAAAGATGTATTTAAATACTATAAAATGGAAACTCAATAATATATATATATATGGGACAGCTCCCTAAGCTCCATCGACACTAAGGTTTGAACAGCACTAAGGTTTACTTCTCCTGGAAACTAATTCAAGGTTGAGCTGAACATGTCACCTTTTCACATGACTGTACATACCAGCCCCAGACTTTTTGGGGAGTCAACACAAGAAGAAATTGGATTTCAGCATGTATATGTAGGTGAGATGTGATTGCCTGTATATGAGGAGAGCCATCTGCCTTGGGCAGGGGTTGGAGCCTGTGCCCTTCCAGATACTGTTGGACTACAACTCCCATTGGCCATGCTGGGTGGTGCTGATAGGAGTTTGAGTCCATGCAAGCAACCACTTGCAAATGGCCATGTGAAAGGGCCTGATGCATTTCCAGTAATCCTGCAAACATTGCAATATTTTCTTGATACTGTAACTGACATTAGACATACATTCAGTTTCTTATGATATGCAGTATTTTATATGTTAATACATTTTAATATTATTTTTATTTAGTTGTTATTTTAAATGTGCATCTTGATCCCTCAGGATGAGGTGAGTTCATAACTGGCATAAAGAAATCAAAATTCAAAAATGCAATTTTGAGTCCCTAATGGAGGGCATTACAAAATGTTCAATAGGCACTGCAGTTTTATGTGGGAAAGGGGAGATGCATTTTCAATGGACTGATCAGTTGTTAGATCAATAAATTAAACATTTTAGCTGAGCAATAATTTGCCCCCGATTAATTGGACATGTGCATGTGTGTGCTTATGATATTTAGAATTCCTGTGGCCCTCATTTGAGTTGCACTCACACAAAGTGCAGCAGTTGCATACATAGGCCCCATATGGAAGAGCCAATTCATATGACCAGGACTGCAGGCATTGCTTATCTGGCCCACATGCCCAACAGCCAGGGGTGCACTGGAAGAGGAATTCTGGGTAGTTCTGCTCCATAATGCTTTTTAGAGCAGTGGTGGTGGCGGCCACTGCAGCAGCAGCGGTGGTGTCATCTGCTGGAGTGCCAGAGTAATTGATTACGGATTCTTCTTGCTCTGGCAAGTAAATGTGGTGATAACAAGGCTTTCAAGTTCTACTATGGGGAACCCAGCAGAGGGCCTTCTCAGTAGTGGCACCCACCCTGTGGAATGCCCTCCCATCAGATGTCAAGGAGATGAGTAGTTATATATCTTTCAGGAAGCATCTGAAGGCAGCCCTGTATAGGGAAGCTTTTTAAGGTATAATATTTTACTATGTTTTTATATATGCTGGAAGCCGGCCAGAGTGGCTGAGGCAACCCAGTCAGATGGGCGAGGTACAAATAATACATCATCATCATTATTGACATATTTGCACAAAGGAAGTGAGCGAATGAGATCAACTTAACATTTTATGACTGTCAGCTGGTCCTTATGTCAAATGCATAAATGAAGCTCCTTGCATTTTTCTACTCTCCTTGGCAGTGTAGCTATAGAAGCTATCATGATGAACTTCTGTACATCAAAATGTATCCCTTCACTACAGCAGGCAGCATCCCTATATATGCTTTCCTGCAAACAATTGTGATGGACCACTCTGACCTTTGGCTGTGGTGGAGCAAAGTCTTTAACCTGTGAACAAGGAAGCATAATGGCCAAAGATGTCATTCACAAACAAACAAACATGCTGCCCATCTGACTAGATTGCCCCAGCACAACAATGATAAAAACACAATAAAACATCAAACATTAAAAGCTTCCTTATACAGGGCTTCCTTCAGATGTCTTCTAAAAGTCTGATAGTTGTTGTCAAATAAAGTGAGAGCAGGAAGGGGAAGGGCTGGAGCTAAGCAGTCGAGCATCTGCTTTGCACGCAGAAGGACCTCCGGGTTAAATCTCCAACATATTCAGGCAGGGCTGAGAGAGAACTCTGCCTGAAATATGGAAGAGCCACTGCTAGCCAGTTTAGTCAATCCTGAGCTAGATGGACCATTTATCTGACTTGGTATAAGCCAAGAGAAAAGATGACCATATGAAGCAGAGGTTGGATGGCCACCTGTCATGGATGCTTTAGCTGAGATTCCTGTATTGCAGGGGGTTGGACTAGATGGCCCTTGGGGTCCCTTCAAACTCTACAATTCTATGGTTCCATGAAACTTTTTATTCATGTTTGAATTATGGGGACAAGGAAGGGGGCCCTTAATAAAACCCATAAGCCCCACCCCATGACTTCCCCAGTTTTAGCCAAAGTATGA